GAGAAACACAGCGGGCTTAGTCACAGATCGCTTTAACGGCTGGCCTGCATATTACCACATCAGCTTAGTGAAGAGATAATGTTGACTGATTCTCTCCATTTCCCTTCTCTGTGTTCTTCAATTGTATTAGTGTTTTTGGGGGTTTGTGAGTTCAAAACAAGTGACGAGGGCAAAGTCGAGGCAACATCATTTAAATTAAAAAGCCTGTCTGCCTGTCAGATCCTTGTCAAAGGGTGCTTGCCATCCTTAGGCTTCTATCAGACAAATGTCAAGGTTAATCGAGATGGAAGATTAGTGGTTGGATTTTTTTGCCTCAGACACAAATCCTACCAACCTGAGTTGATGAGAGGCTGACTCTAAATCTAACTTACTGATCTTGTCACCTTTCAAAAATCTAATTCTCCCACTCTAAATGTAATGAGTACAATATTCTACCTCAGTGTTTTGTAGAATGTTTGTTCTGGGAAGTTTCAATGGAATATTAGAAAGAATTGCAACATTTCTTAAAGCGCAAATGTACCAGACAAACTTTGAACGCCTTTCACACCTCATGTCCCTGAGACAGGACAGCATTTCTACCATTCTGCAATAAAAACCCTCTCTGAGGTTGTACTCACGCTGAATACTAATGTCCACGTTGTAACATGCTTACAGTGACAATGCTAATATAACATATTAAGCAGTATGATGTTACCATACTCATCTATTCTTAGTGTAGTTAGCTTGCTGACGGTAATGTATTAGCATTGGACACAAAGAAGAGCTGAAACTGATGGTATTAATATGACTTTTGTAGGGATTTGACCTAGGGCTGCTCGATTATGGCAAAAATCATAATTTCGATTATTTGGGTCAATAATTGATATCACGATTATTAAAAAATGATTATCCATTTACTTTGAAAACATCAATTTATTGGAGAAAGAAAATGTGAACCGTATGTTTTTAACAGTTGATTACCCTGAACTTTAAATATAATTCAACAGAAAAAAAAAAATGTATTATTAAAAAAAAGAAAAAATCGTTTTATTTCGATTACGTTGTTTTCGTAATCGTTGGAAGCCAAAATCGTAATTGCGATTAAAATACGATTAATTGAGCAGCCCTAATTTGACCATAATGACAAAGTATTGGGCAAATAAAATACAAAAATCACCTCCTGGCTGCCCTAGATTAAAGGGGCCCTGTTTTCAGCTTCATATTGTATGTGTTCCTGTACTGTAGGGTGACCAGGGCCCCTTTTTAAAAGTAGGAGGCTCATTAGCGGTTCTTACAATTTATTCCATGGGGGACAAGAGCGTCAGCACCATATTCCATCTCAATTGATTCCTTAGAAGACATTTCTCTACAAAACCACACATTTTCAAAAAAGGCAAGCAATCAGTCATTCGTTTTTATTTTGTACAAACCATGAGTGTGGTCACAAAATGTGCGTCTATCAATCTAGTAGTGTTTAAACATTTTACTGAATAAATCCAGACTTTGACCTGCCGGTTCAAACGTGAGAAGAGCATTAATGTCAGTAGGCTACATAACCTGAGGACACTCACTATTGATACAATAGTTTTTGCCATTCCTGCACAAATGGTGGAGATATGTATGTCTCTGGTGGACCGCCATTGCCTGAAGCCACACAGCTCTCATGGCTAGAAGCTATACAGGCAAAGTATGCAGATGTTCTGCTTGCCTCTACGGAGAGGTGCGTGTTTACCAGTTCTGCATGCGTAATGTGCAATTAAAGGTAAATTGCCTGTTATTAAAACTAGAGATCAGAGAGGTTTTTTTTGAGAGCTTATGTTAATACTAGCTCATGGATGTGATTTGATGAAAATGTTGTTATGGACCATTAGCGTGTGTTTCTGTTTGTACTGTGTGCTGCTGCTCAGCTATCACCTCGTTCCCTTGGGCTTACAGATCCAAACCGGCTGTGGCTCCCAAATCACTCCTCTCATTCTCGATTAATTGAACTCATTAGAACCTTCAAATTGGAGATTTAAAGATATGCAGTAAACATGGGACCAAGCACAACAGGCTACTAGCTTTGTTACTCCCAATTAGAGGGATAATTGGCACTTTATTTCTACAATTCAAGTTCAAACACACCCAGGCTCCCTGGAGGAGCACCACAGAGTTTCACTGTTTGCACTGATGTTTGAGTTGTGCCCATTTGAATGCAGAGCCATTGGCTGCCTTCATGATGAGCTTCCTGCAAATGTCATACCATGAATATTCATTTGTCTCCTCAGTTTTGTTTTGCTCAATAATCTCTGGTGAGGCATTGCAGTGAGGGTATGGAGGAGGAAGACCATTTGCCTAACCATTGCCAGCTTTTACTGGGTTTTGGATTGCATAGCGTTTCTAAATCTGTTTCAATACACTCATAATTAATTACTCATTAGTGTTTTCAGCCCAGAGAAGACTGTAAACTGAATCTTTTCTAAGCAAGACTTTCCTTTGGTGCAGTTTTACACGATTTGTCTATTAAAATCTTGTCCTTCTGTGATGTAGAGATGACATTTGAAGGCAGATTGAATGTATGTTATCTTTTAGTTGCTGATACTTTAAGACATTTGTGTTCATAGAGGTATTACAAAAGTTTTGTTTTTTCTCAGACTGGATTTCTTCAGGATACACGTAGTATCGCCAGTGATGAAAAGAAACTAAGTATTTAATTAATTATCAATACTTAAGTAGTGTTCTTCTTACGTAACATTTTGAGGTAGTTTACCTCACTATTTCTTTTTTTTCTACAAGGCATAATGCAGTATTTATTTAGCAGATTCAGACTGAAGAAACTAAAAATAATCAATAATTACTTGTGTTATTATAGGATCAGATAATAAGTAATTCAAATTCACCAGCTGCTACATTGATGAACAGATTATTGCATCAATAATTATAATATAATGTTCTCTGAAATGCACCATAGCACATTGCAGTGTACTTTTTTTTGGGTATTTTAAAGGAGACATATTATGGGAAACTCACTTTTTTGGTGGTTGTGCACATGTATGGGAACCTGGAGTGCTTACCGACCCTCAAACTGTGAAAATGCAGTTTGTCGTGGGCGTCGTGGATCAGAATATGTGGGATTCAATAGGCCGTTCAGGCTCCTTTTCTGTGCCAGGTGCAGGTTCAGGTACACTCAGATTGAGAAAAACAGTATCTATAAAATGTATACTTTTCTTTAACATTAGAGCATGTTAACTTGTAGAAAACAAATATACAAAAATAAACCTTAAAGGTCCCCTATTATACTGTTTTTCATCATTATATTAAAGGTCTCAGATATATACAGAACATGTCTCTGAAGTGTTTGGCTCCAAATACCAAACAGATCATTGCAGCATTACCCATAATCCCCTCTGTTTCAGCCCTGTTTCAAAAGTGCTGATTTTCTGTCTGTGACTTTAGATGAAAATAAGGAGCCCCTCCCCACGCCCCTCTGAGAGATATTTGGTTACAAAGAACACAATGGTGCTCTAGGAGGAGATTCAGGTGATAAGGGGGGGGGTTACCTTGGTTGGTGATTGGCTAATGGTTACACAAGCCAAAAAATCGTTATGACATCATAAGAAGAAAGAAGAAGAAATCGTTTATTAGTCCCCGAGGGGAAAATGGGTTAGAGAGGCATTTAAAAAGATAAGACAATACATCACTAACAACAACATAGACACAGATAAAAAACAAACAGACATAAGAAAACCAGATATCGGCAGACATGACAATGGGCCTAGGCCCTCATTTGCGAAATAGGGGGGACAGGGCCAGACCAGCTGGGTAAACAGTGCGTCCTAACCATCATTTATTCAGGAGTTTGATGGCTTGTGGGACGAAAGACAGCTTAGATCTGTTCTTTTTGAAATAAGGGGCACGATATCTCCGCCCGGATGGCAACAGTTCAAAGTAAGAGGCAAGAGGGTGCCTCAGGTCACTCACAATATTGTGTGCCAATTTTAAAACTCTGTCCTTATATTAGACCCTCCAGAAAAACGCGATTCTGCGATCGCAGAATTTACCGCATAATCAGCAAAATGGCGCAGATTTTTAAAAGGCCGCATATTTATCAAAAGGCCGCATAATCCCCGCATTTTTCCACACAAAGTTGAGAGAAAAAAAAAGTTAACTCGTCTTGACGTGACGTCATCAGCTCGCGCATCACAGAATGTAAACAACACTGTATAGAGTGAACGTGTGGAGCTCACACGAATGAAAGAAAGTTACTCGTAACCACAAAAAGTACATTCGCGGTCATGAAAAAAGGAAGAGGCTGTAAAACACGCAAACTTATGTAACACCGGAATAACAGGTTAAAGTGTGTGGAGTAATTCGTGACCAAGCGTACTATCCGCAAGCCACAAGAGGTACTACCGAAAGTCAGACCATACGAAAGGTTTTATGGTAAAGAGAAAATTGGAAAAAAAAGAAGAAAGAAAATATGGTAGAAGGGTAGAAGGTAGAAGGGGGAGTAAAAATCANCTTATTTAAGTAAAAGCAGAGTTCGAGTTAAGCACCCATAAGGAGGGGTCTGAGCTCCCACGGACGCAGTGAAATCATACATCTGTGGGGGTCGCTACCAACAACCATTATTTTAATCACAAATAATGCATGTGTCAATGTAATAAGTATTATTTACGTTAACGAGGTAAATAGGCTAAAAGAAAAACATGTTTTCCAAAGGAACTACGCATCTCTTGAATGACAACATGCCAGCACTGCACCTCCAAGGTGTGCAATACATTATTGCGCAATCTATGCCTGTGAGCGTGCTGCGCGAGCCGAGATGATGTGTGTGTGTGTAGTTGAACCTTTTCAGATTTAAGTTTGTAGCAAGTAGAGAGCTGCTGCTGCTGTGTGTGTGTGTGTGTGTGTGTGTGTGTGTGTGTGTGTGTGTGTGTGTGTGTGTGTGTGTGTGTGTGTGTGTGTGTGTGTGTCAGTGTTTTACTGTGATACAGTATATGGTGTTAATCCTACAGCTGTGTTAATGTGTATGTTTATATACTGTTTAATCTGCAGCATTGCATCATACTCCTGAGATCATCATATATAGCGTTTCCCTACACATTTGTATAGCTTTGAAAAAAGATCTTGTTTTTCCCAGTCACTTCAGTTGATCTAAATCTTCTGGAGATGATTCTTTACTGGAGAGGGATAAACATTTTGAATCTTAAATCTGACTAAAGCTTTCACATAACTGTAGTGCAGTAGAAAAGTACAATATATCCTTAAGATGTGTTGGAGTAGAAGTGATATAAAACTGAATTACTAAAGTAAAACAATCTCAAATGTGTCAAACATGAAATACCTAATCCCAGTTTTTGTCTTTAGCACTGCATGCCTATGAGCCGTTGTACAAAAAGGTGACACATTCCCCCAAAGTCCAGGTGAGTGAGCCGTTGAATATCAGAGAATAATGCTGAGGCCCTGAATAACTCACATTGAATACATAATGCATTTGATCTCAGGGCTTAGCGAAGAAGCTGGGCCTCATCAGTCCTGTGATACTGCAGAGCATGTTCATCTTTAAGGTAACACTTTACATCAATATGAATGAAATGTGTTGTTGTGTTTACATCATGCTGTGTGTGTAGTTAAAGATATCAATATATGTTCCTTCTCTCTCCCGCAGCAACCAGGGATTGGTGGAGAAGGTAAGCTGATTTCGTTTTCTAAATGTTAAAATAGTTTTTCTTTACCACTGTTTTCCATAGATATTTAAAGATATTGTAATATTGTATCTCTTGCAGGATCTGCTGTAATATCAATACATTGTCTGTTAACAATTTAAACTGAGATGTGCTTTATAAATAAACGTACCTTGCCTTGTCTTCAAAATAAAATCCGAGATGAGTTAAAAGAGAGGCGAAGTCCCTCCCTTTCCGGGGGACCTCCATGGGACCTTATTTCGGAAAAATTATGTATTGAAGTCAATGGGGAGAGAAAGATTATCTTTCGATCCCGTTTGAATTGTGCCACGAATTACACATATGATGTTTGTCAATTTAAAAGATCATTTTACAAGTCAAAAAAATAAAAATGTGTCGGTAAAACTGTGAAGTCACACTTTGTTTGTGTGAAACCGCTCAATGAACTACATCTCC